TAAAATACATCGAACTGGCCTCGACTACGGCCTCATCTCGTCCGATTTTTTTTTTCATTTATGATTTAAACTGGCCACAGTTTCATCTGAGATAAACTTTAAACTCTGAGTAACTCATTTGTGTCTCCAGTTTCCACTTAATGTCCCCTCGCTCTACTGTTGCTCACTTGAAACAATGCTCCCCCTGTCTCTTGGGCAATATTCCCCTTAAAATCTTGTTCATCACTATCATGTCTGCTTCATACTATACAAAACTTCGACATTCACACTAATCCCATCTTACTCAATATAACCCACCTTACACTATATAACCCGACATACACACTATACAACCCGACATACGCACTGTACAACCCGACAAACACACTATACAACCCGACATACACACTATACAACCCGACATACACACTATACAACCCGACATACACACTATACAACCCGACATACACACTATACAACCCGACATACACACTATACAACCCGACATACACACTATACAACCCGACATACACACTATACAACCCGACATACACACTATACAACCCGACATACACACTATACAACCCGAGAATCACAAAAGCGTGAATATAACAGCCCAATTTTAGAGAAATATGTCAGTGCTGTGAACTTCAAATTATTCGTAATAATTTAAAACAAGAACCAAGAGGATGGCGGCCATGTTGGGCTGGCAGGATGACCTAATTATAGAGCAACAGGTACAAAAAGGTTAGGAAGCGGGGCATAAAGATAGTTTGACCTCACTCAAGGTAGACACTGATAGGCAAGCAGGTGACCAATCACAAGGCGAGACGCGCTGTGGCTGACCAATCACTTGTGACGTCATGAGACACAAGGTGACCTATCAAGGAGAGGGAACTCACTATGGGGCGAACGATCAGTTATGAGGTCACAGGTCACCTGAGCAGCAGTCCGTCCTCATGATTTGTCAGAATGCACAGAATACAGCTATTAACACAACCAAAAAGTGTACGAACCCCAACAACCCATCTCAGCAAACCTGCCGATACATAGAAAACGTGTTATCTGTGAGCCGCTACTCTCCGGAGTACTCTGTAATTTCAACCCGTCCTCCACTCAAGTCCATTACATTCAGCGGTCGACCCCACAGACACATTCATAAATTTTAACATGCTGTTCATTCAAAACGGGAATTTTCTCAAGTATAAATTAATATTATAGTATATTGGCATATTGTGTATATATAGGCATAGAATAGGTTAGGTCAGGTGTTTAGGTTCTGTTGGCGATTATTTGTATTTGTAGTACGTGGGTGAAGCATTTATAGCGTTGCGATTCGAACAAGATTCGTCAGTGAAGCACTTGTTCCGGATATGTTCGAACGTCATCAGTTGTGAGTCGTGTGTAAACCGCTTTTCATTCATAAACAGGGGGTTTGGCGGGTGCATGGAATCACTTTTGGATCTTTGTTTGGAGGACGGGCTGGTAATTTGTACGTTGGGGAATCATCTTTCAATCTTTGTTCATTCTTCCCATCTTTCTTGCTCATATCTCCATCTTTCTCACCTCTCCCCATATTCCTCTTTCTATCCTCTCCTATTCTTTCTATCCCGTCCTTAAGGTGGAGTCAACCCACCTTCTGTGGTTGATTGTTCAATAAATCCCTGAACTATATGTTTAACAGATCTCTAACCCTGTCCATCGAGGATAGAAGAATATATATATATATATATGCTGGTTAGCATTGTAAATATCTGGCCACGTCTGTGGTAGAAATAAATATCATCACACCGAGTCTATTTTTGCATTATATTAATAGTACCAAAATGCACTACATCATTAGTGCTTTAATGAACTTCATATCCTTGGTTAGGTTAATATTTGGCTAAGGTTAGATTAAGCTGAGGTTAGGTTAGGTTAGGCTAGTTAAGGTTATGTGCATTGCTTCCTAAAACATGGGAAAGATGTGAAATTCTGGCCTTCTTGAGTGGCACCAAGAATTTGACATTAAAGAAAACGTTGGCTTATCAAAGAAAGCGTCTATAACAAAGACTTATTACTTATAAAGCCTGGGTTTAATCATTTATTGTGTCGGGGGACAGGACCTTACCTTGCGATTACCTTTCGATGATTTCGGGGCTTAGCGTCCCTACGGCCCGGTCTCCGACCAGGCCTCCTCGTTGCTGGACTGCCTGTTGGACGCGGCTGCTCGCAGCCTGACGTATGAATCACAGCGTGGTTGATCAGTTATCCTTTTGAAGTGCTTATCCAGTTCTCTCTTGAACACTGTGAGGGGTCGGCCAGTTATGCCCCTTATATGTAGTGGAAGCGTGTTGAACAGTCTCAGGCCTCTGATGTTGATAGAGTTCTCTCTCAGAGTACCTGTTGCACCTCTGCTCTTCAACGGGGAGTATTCAACTGGTCAACCAGGCTGTTGCTCGCAGCCTGACGTATGAGTCACAGCCTGGTTGATCTGGTATCCTTTGGAGGCGTTTATCAAGTTCTCTCTTGAGCACTGTGAGGGGTCGGCCAGTTATGTCCCTTATGTGTAGTGGGTAACGTGGGTGACATCAGTACACCCAAATCCTTTACATTGCTCTTTCGTTCTATGTTATGATTTGACTGTGTTTTGTACGTGGTTTCCGTTTTTATATTTCCATTTTTTCCGTAGCGCATGAGCTGGAACTTGTCTTCATTAAATGCCATATTATTTTGTGTAGCCCATTGAAAGACCTGATTTACATCTGATTGGAGGTTTGCCGTGTCCACTATGTTGTCTACTCTGTTAAAAATCCTAGTGTCATCTGCAAAGAATGATACAGTACTATATATTGTGTCCTTGTCTATGTCCGATATGAGGATGAGAAAAAGTACTGGAGCAAGCACAGTACCCTGGGGGACAGCACTTCACGCCAGGAAGCCAGAGTGTATTCATACACGTTTTGGCTTTTATCGAGGTCCCCCCTCCCCCCCGCGTCCCCAAAGTGGTAACAGTAACCACTATCTAAGCGTCACAACGTGTATTTCCTCACCTTGAGTGTGACACATCCGGTCACCTTGAGCTGGTCGATTTACACCTCAATGGTCCTGGGTGTGACGTCAGGGCAGGGCAAGACTATCAGACACGTTTCCTAGCTGTAAACAGGAGTTAGCCGACTGTTGTGGGCTGCGCCCTGGGGAAAGGTAAGTCATTAGCTACAGAGAAACCTCAAAAATCCTAATAGGCTTCCCGTCCCAGACAATAAGAAACGATAATAATATTTTACCAGCCATAAGACTTTCCGGTAAGGGATCGTTTAGGACAGTCCCTATATTGGAGAGAAAATGTTCTAAATGGGAAAAACTGTTTTTATTCCGTGACGAACTAACCTCCACTCAGTCTTAAGTGAGACCATGTCATTTGTCTCGTACTAAAATGGAACTTTTCCTGGTCAGTTCTTGGTTTGCATCAGAATGCTCAGGGGAATTTTGTTGCAAGCCAGATTGTTGCTGTATGTCGGGTTGGATAGTGTGTGTGAACTATGGAACACGCCATGGTGCCCATCTATGTATCTATCCATCAATCTAACCCCCATCTATCCATCAGTCTGTCTGTCTCTATTTCTGACTCTATCTCTTTTATAAAATATATTATTGTTTAATATTTGGATGGTCGCCAGTGAGAGGAGCTTGGTGGTGTGAAATACTAAAAATAATAATAATTACCCCTTTGCTCTGATAAAGGGGCGAGGCTTGAGAATCTTTGAAACAGTTGAAGGATTATCTATTTTATGGGAGTACGGGTAAATAATGGATTACCTGGAAAATTCTGTTAATTTACCTGAGGTCAGTGAATAATGTATATTACTTTACGATTTATTTAAATGATTGTTTTGAAAATATTTAACTGTGTAGCCGGCCGGCAGCACTCCAGTCTATGTTAATCCCATACCCGAGACTGTTCCTTCTGCCAAGCTTTTGGCCTCCAACGTTGGACAGAGACATTCTCTCTTACAGTATAGATGTATTATATATGTAGGTACAACTAAATACAATCTTTAACACATTCTATATTCACCTTTACTGGAGGTCATTAGTAGGCATTCTTCAGTCTCGGGAGACTATAGAGTTGCGCCCTATACCTATAATGACCCATAATGGAGGTCATTAAGGACACGTCTATAGGATATATATGCTGGAAAATAAACAAAAAATCCATGTGACGTATTTAGGTGTCCGACCTGGTAACACTGGGCGGTGTACGTGACCTCCAGCGCCTCACAAATATAGCATCACGCCCACAATATGAAAGGAAGAAAATATGCTACTTTTCCCCCCTTGAATCCCGTTGCCAAACACCTCATTGGGTAAGGCCGATCGAAAACAATTCTCTTCAATCGTTATTATTGATTGGGAAGGTAAATGAAGGTTGTGATGAGGTTTGAAGTATAGTAATGGGATGGTGATCGTTGGGCGGCCTTGATGAAGCAGCCGACAGGTGGCAGCAACCACAGTTCAGCGCTACCAATACACCGCTGCACTCGCTAACCTTAGCGCGCTCCTCCATATTTGAAATGTGAAACCCAGAGATCAACATTATATACGCCAATAAAGTTGGATAAACATTGATTCATATTGTGAAAATATTTACTATTAGGTCATTATAATTTTATTAAAAAAGAAAGTTGTACAAAAGTAATTTCAAATTTGCATGTTGTTGCGTGATATGCGTCTGGTCATAATGCAAATTACCTTATTACGAGTGTGTATATATATATGATTTTGAAGACCTGAATAATTCTTCTCTCAATTGCTTTTATATATATATGTGTAAGACGAAAAAAATTGTCCTCAGTCATGTTATACACACAGGATTAGTTAACCTGTAAACCTGAATTTCAGGGCATAATTTTGGACTATTTTTTAATGAGTAAAGGAATCACAGAAGAAATGATTTCTCCTTCCTACGGCTGGACAGAGAATAGCAAACTGTGCTCAAGCTGTGCACTTGGCAGCAGCTTTATGGGGCTGGGAGGGATGCATTGCTTGCAGGTCTGCAACACTGCAGAGGGAGTTGCAGGTTATCAGCTGTGTTCTTCCTCGCTCGCTCACCCATCATTAGGTTCCTGGCTATATACCCATTACCATAACCATGTCCTACAGGCTCGGTGCTGCTGTTGGCCGCCTGGGTGCCGCATCTCTCAACGTGAGTGACAAATGTCTTGGGTTGAATCTGTATATCAATGGTGGTGCTCTTGGACTTGAAGCCTATCAATCAGCCTTTGGAGGCTTATTAAGGCCGTACGAGTGCTTATTCGTCAATCAGCAAGTATACTTTACTCCTGGACATTGTCTAGAACTGAAGTATACTTTAAGTATATATACACCGAGTAGCGGCCGGGTACACTCGGTGTATATACTATACGTATATTCCTGCGTATATCATGACGTGCCCACGTACTTATCTATAATAATTCTATATTACATATCTACATTTATAAGCCCGCTGTGTTGTCATAGGGCTTAAGGCTATGGACAATATATTGATTACAATAGGTGTTTATGGAAGAAGGGGAAGGTGTTGGAATGTCAAATATTTAGAAATAGCAGCCTTGGTTTCCTCGCAGCGCCGAGCAAGTCTTGCAGTGTGATGACACAACAGCAAGAATGTCACAACATTGCTTTCTGCCACACATTGTGTGGGTGATTAGATATGTATGTGTATGTATATACGTATACGTATATATATATATTTACATGTATGTATGAGAGTGTGTACATGTGTATACAACATTAATAATTTTGTAACTAGCGTCAAACATTGTTATTTGCTTAGCTAAACGAACTAGAGGGTTCAGTTCCTGAACCGATTATGTGCCTCTGTAACCCTTTACACCACCGCCCACGGGATGGGTATGGGGTGCATAATAAAGAAAGAAATTGAATTGCCACACAGCCTGTCAGGCGATAATTATAACATCGTGAACACCAAGAGCATCTATTCTAACAAATCCTGCAGAAATGCAATCTGGATTGACCTAATTATTGATTACGCAATTGTTAAAATAATTTCTCGATTTTTTTTATTGGTTCAAATTGAACGAGACACGCGGGGCACCAAATATGAAGAAGCTTTTTTTGTGTATAATTTAACTATATAACAGTATACATATTAATAATAACCGAGCCCACACATGTCATGATATGTGGGGGGTAAAGGAGGGTCTGAAACGTCACACATTTGGTTACATATGTGTGTGGGGGGGGGGCTTGGTTATCTGCTTCAGCCCCGTTATTGTGACTTACTCCCTGCATAAAACTATATAGATTGAATATGATATCCAAACAACACATCAGCTTCGGTCCGTCCTGGACCATTTTCAAGAAAGGTCGTGCTTCTTTATTTTCCGATGTGTGGTTTGCATATCGTATCTTCAGCCTCGTTATTGTGACTCATCGTCTTTATATAGATTGAAGAGAAAATTCACCTACACGGTAATATTTTTCAAAGTATAATTACCTCCTGGTTCTGTTGACATAATTTTGTTTAGTTCATATACAGCAATTTAGTAAATTTATTATGCACCCATTACCTATCCTTTGGCTGGTATGGGAATAAGTTGTTACATATGCACATAATGTAACAACATTGTGAACTGAACCGAACCCCTCAAGGTCATTTAGCTAAGCAAGATAATCTTAATAAGCTATGTATCTCACCAGACACAATCGTAATTTAATTCTGTGAATTTCAGCCCTTCACGTTTAATTATGTATGCTTTATAATGAAGCTTATATGATGTTGTTTTAGATTCCGCTATTTGGAACAAAAAGCTACAAGTAGCACGGGCTATGGTGAGCCCGTAGTGAAGCTTATAGATAATGAATTAAATTAAACCAAATTATGAGTTGATCTGAAACCATTTGAACTGTTTATGTTATTGAACCATACAATATTATTACTTATAAATAGCCATTGTTTAGTACAATTATTTTTTATATTGTAGATAAGAACTATTTAATATAAATATCTTCATCAGCATTATCATACATGCAGTACATATTTTATTATGTTTAACTAAACCCCAGCATACGACATTATTGATCGACAACCCAACCTGCAATTATAGCAAGCAGCCAGTCCGCAGTCTCAGTGGTTACCTAATTTGTTTATGGAATTATTCAAGACTATGATAAAGTATTCATAATACTTTACCAGGAATATTGGACGCGACTATAGCACTATTTTGCCCAGTTTGTGGATCTTGTTAAAGGTCTATATTAAGACTTCAGCTCGGAGGGTTGACTAACACATGTGTTGACAATAACACCGTGAACATTATAATAGAGCATGGCTCTGCGATTTAAATTGTTCTTAACACTATAATGACATTGTTTTCTCTCGGCAGACTCTGAAGGTAGGCGCTCCAGCAGCTAGGCTCAGCGCTCAGGCTCCTAGCAAGGCTTATGCTGAGGTGCCCGAAGCCCTGAAGCAGAAAATGAAGATCTTCCAGGTAACATGAAAGCAGAAAGATAATTACAGAGAGAGCGAGAGAGAGAGAGAGAGAGAGAGAGAGAGAGAGAGAGAGAGAGAGAGAGAGAGAGAGAGAGAGAGAGAGAGAGAGAGAGAGAGAGAGAGAGAGAGAGAGAGAGAGAGAGAGAGAGAGAGAGAGAGAGAGAGAGAGAGAGAGAGAGAGAGAGAGAAAATCAGTGGCCTATAATTTAAACTTTATGCCGTTATTTAAATTTGTCAGGATTCAAAATTATCCCAACTATTAATAAATAATAAAAATAATAACATACATATCCAGTTAACGCAAGAAAAGTTATTCAACATTATCATATTAAATGTATAATCATCGTGGGATATGTTAATCATATTAATACTTTATGACATGTCAGAACGTATCTTTTTTCATGAAAATGCTGAAAATTTGAAGAGTTTTATAGGTCTGGAAACGGCTAGACATATGCATAATGTGTCATTGATGATAATGATGTAGGTCGATGTAGGTAACCTCAGTGTAGGGTAAGTGTACTTTTGTAAACTGATTTTTCGCAGTTTTACTGTGGTAATGCCAGAGTTCATTACGAATAGGGATATTGACGATTCCAGTTCACTAATAGACCTAGTAATGTGTGACAGGGATGAGGTAGTAGGTGCAACAGTGGACCAGACACAACTTATATAAACACGCCACTTAACTTTCCTCTACCTTCCACATCACAGCCTCGCCTCTTTGCTAGTCACATAATGTGAATGGCAAAGCTTTATATCAAATTCGGTTATATAACCTGTTCTTAGGCTAGGCTCGCCCAAGCTGGCCATGGGCAGCCTCCACCACATCACTGCCTAAAGCATTCCATTTGTTAACTACTCTGAATAGGGCGGTAAGTAATAGAGCGACGAGGCAGACATTGGTAGAACATATATTCATAAAATTAGGATGACGAGAAGCCTAACTGAAGAACTAATATAAGGTAAAATAAAAAGACTACTCTATAGTCTATAAGGCTACTCAATAGCTTGGTCGATAGAGCTTCGGCCTCACACACGTGGGATCCACGGTTCGAGTCTCCTTGAACCCAGGTGAATGGAATAGTATATTGTAATTAAATAGTAAATGTCCAAGATGGAAGTCTAAATCAGTCTATTTGAATCCTGCTGTTGGTCTCCACATATTCTATTTGCTCATCGTACTGGCTGTGATTATGTTATGTCACGCTTTGGTTAATTCACTTGGCACACAGCCCAATGGTCCTGGGTTAGATTCCCGGACAGGGCAAAGCGTCTGGGTATGTTTCTTTATACCTAATGCCTCTTGTCACCTAAACAGACATAAACCTAAACAGCAGTAAACAGACATCAGAAAGCTAGACGACTCGGTTTTGCATCCTGAGGAAGTGTTCACCTAGCAGTAAATTGGTATCTGAAAGCTAGTAATAATAATATACATATATTTTATTTCTGTAAACAGAAAGTTGTGTTGTAAACTGGATTACAGACACTCTTAAAGTTTTATGTAGACCAAGTATTAGAATGGATTTAATAAGGTTTTTAATGTTTTATATTGACATAAAATGCAAGAAAATTAAGAATACAATAATTATGCTACTTTCTGATTAAATTTTGTGTGTGTGGATAGGCAGGCAAGAGGGTTACTCAGTAGACAAAATATTGAAGTTCTTGCGAGGCAGGATCGAAAAGTCGAGTAAGAAGCATAGCTTAACAAAATCAGATAGAGGATAAACTAGGAGCCAGAAGCAACACAGACATTTAGGACTGGAACGAGACCAGGGGGAATGCTGCCATGTATGTAGTAGCCATTTCTTTGGAAAGCTAAAATGCATTACATTTCAATACAGCAACAAACAAGCCCGGACCCCAGGCTGTACTTGAGCAGTAACACTCAAAACCTACTACAGGTAAAGCTAACGGCGCACGTCAGGGATGAACCTCAGTAATGTACATTACCTGTCTTGCAGAACCCCAACGGCCTGCCAGTACACATCAAGGGTGGCACAACTGACAAGATCTTGCTCGCCTTAACCGCAATTGTCTGCACCTTAGGCGTCTTGGAGTCCCTCCGTGTGTACTACGTCCTCTCCTATCCCCCGAAGAAGTAAGTGGCCAGCCACCTTCAGCCGATACCAGCAACAGGAGCAGAGCGCTGTGAAATTCCATAGTCAAAATAAGGCGCACTATACTTTTCTTTATCCACTGAAGCCATCAAGAGTGAAATAAGAGAGCCATGGTATGTCTCAAGACAGCAGTATGACACAAAAATGTTTTCCCTCTCTTCGTAAGTCATTAGAGCAAAAGCATGCTACTTTTAAGCTCTTTCAGCATGAATAACACCTATAAATACATATGCAATTGGCAACATCAAGATTAAACAAAAACATTGGGCTGGAGTACCCTTATAGTGAGCAAGCAGTACAATGTTTGCTTTGTCAAACAGCTGGAACAAAACATTGCATATTTCATAGTCAATAGTAAGACATTGGTTAATTTACACTAATTATACCCCTCGTACCAACAAGATGAGCAGAACTCTGATATTTATATGAAGCTAACTGTAAAATCCGGAGCTATATCCTAGGACAATATAAGAATTTTCGCCCTCTGCATGCATGCAACATTTATATATATACCGTTTCTTGGTGTATCTAACCAATTTACTTTTACCCTAGTCTATGTTGAGGACTTGCTGGTTGTTCAGTAAGATATTGTGGTGGCCTTATAACCCACCAGAGATCGATAGGCCTATAAGCCCAACACTAAATCTCTCAACCGTAATATTTCTTCAGCATTTCTGAAGGCTACAGCAAGCCCTCCATTGGCTGAAAGCAAGACTGAGGGCTACAGAAAGCCCTCCCACAGAAATGAACTGAAGCAAGATTTTCCAGTAACAGATTGTAACGTAAACAAGAGCTACTGATGTTAATGTAAGTAGACGTTTCACCAAGTCTCTCAGGAGAGATATGTTTTATTTTTACTTTATAAATATTTTTCTAAATGGAAATAAGTTCACGAACAGCAAAACTGGACCTCATTCATCCAAGTTCTATTGACTCAAATACAGAATTTGTTTAGTTTTATTTTAATAATAGAAAAATGTTGAGCTACTGATGTTGCACATTTGTACTTAAATATCTACGTTTAAAGCCATGGCTTAGGAGAGTAGATAATAAATATCTACAGTTGGTAGGATTACATCTACAAATGCCTAGGCAGAGGTTGTCAGACCTGTCGCTTCCACTGTTTCCAAAATAAAAATATTGTTTACAACTGCATTCATTAACAGTTTATTTGATGAGCAATATGATTTCCATTTGCATTATTTTTTAGTCTGAGACCTTCACTCAATATGTAAAATAAGAGTAATGAGCCAGCCACGCTCTAATTAATATATCTGCACACTAGTCATTTGATGTAATTGCTCATTTGTAAATAAGTTGGTTGTCATAATATATCTTTGTTCTTAAGTTCTATACATCGTCAATAATCTTCGCTTTAACTACTTGACGATAACCGGTGACCTTAAATCTTTTGCAGAGGCTACAATGATTTAACATAGGTATCCCTAAATACGACTGAAGAGAAAACGGGAATATAGATGATGTATTGTATACTTAATTGATATATTTGTAAATAAAAGGACGACGGTGGGACTTGTTTTCCTTTTTCCGAATTTTATTTTTTAGTTTTACTTACTAAACGAATGGCATTATTTAATGGTGTCAAAGATATTTTTATTCATTGTGTATACTGCATTTCTGTTTCAGGACTTGTTATTGTGTTGCCAGAAATCCTAAAATCACAGATATATACATAAAGAGGTGTATCTCGCTTCTTAATGTATATATATACATTGAGTTTACTTTTGTCCTGAATTATATTCAGGGCTAAAGTATACTTGCTGGTTGGTCATTAAGGAACTGTCTTGGCCATAATAATCCTGATTCACAGCTGACATATAGGTCTTCAGTTGGGCTAGCCTAACTTAAATGTGCTTTGGGTTTATCTATACTGGATTGTTAATCTAACTTCCCAATTAATTTTAGTGGGAATTTTTAGGCCTGGGTAGGCGCTGGTAGAGTAGATAAATCTCCCTACGGGAGGTGGCGGAAAGGTTAGTCACAAAATGTCCGAAACGCTTTGCGTAATAGTGGCTTTAGGCATTGTATGTACTAGCTCTACCTATAAGTCAACCAATCTTTGTAAAAATTTATTGTATGTATGTACCTTACCTAAATAAACATTTTATTTTATTTTATTTTTTTATAAATGGGTTTAGGAACTGGACCCCAATATTCTTTAAGTAAAGCGATTTATATTTGTGGTGAACTAAGTACAGTTTTAGTGTTTGAATAGTAAGTTACTGGGTAACATGATAGTTGTGGGGTCGCTGGATTTATTCAAGTGTTGGGTAGGCATATTATATGAATGAGTTTGGGTGGATATATATAGGAGCTGTCTCTAATGGACCAATAGGAGCTGTCTCTAATGGACCAATAGGAGCTGTCTCTAATGGACCAATAGGAGCTGTCTCTAATGGACCAATAGGAGCTGCCTCGAATGGATCTACAAGAGCTGTCTCGTATGTGTCAATAGGAGCTGCCTCGAATGGATCTACAAGAGCTGTCTCGTATGTGTCAATAGGAGCTGCCTCGAATGAACCAATAGGAACTGCCTCGTATGTGTTAATAGGAACTGCCTCGTATGTGTAAATAGGAACTGCCTCGTATGTGTCAATAGGAACTGCCTCGTATGTGTCAATAGGAACTGCCTCGTATGTGTCAATAGGAACTGCCTCGTATGTGTCAATAGGAACTGCCTCGTATGTGTCAATAGGAACTGCCTCGTATGTGTAAATAGGAACTGCCTCGTATGTATCAATAGGAACTGCCTCGTATGTGTCAATAGGAACTGCCTCGTATGTGTAAATAGGAACTGCCTCGTATGTATCAATAGGAACTGCCTCGTATGTATCAATAGGAACTGCCTCGTATTGACCAATAGGAACTCCCTTGTATCTGTCAATAGGAACTGCCACGTATGGAACCAATAGGGGCTGCCTCATATGGAGCAATAGGAGCTGCCTCGAATGGACCAATAGGAGCTGCCTCGTATGGACCAATAGAAGCTACCCCCTATGGACCAATAACTGTAAATAATAGGGGCTAGTAAAGTTGCCTTTATTCTTGTGATGTTTACATTGTTATGATGGTATTGTACTTGAGGAGAAGCAGGTGCCGTGGTGACCGTAGTGGCGTTATTACGACCGTGATTCCTGGAGTAGCCTCAAGATAACACCAACACTGCCTGATAACACAAGACTATGCTCCAGGATACGAAGGATGGTGTGTGTGTGTGTGTGTATGTGTGTGTTCTTAACTAGCCCAGCTTGCTGGACCGAACTTCAGCTCCTGGGCTCCCCTTTCTAACTGTCGGTCGGTTAAGACAGTGACTCCCGACACTACATTACATCTTAGAATGTGTGAACATTTCATAATTTAATGTAATGACCTAGTCCTCACGCTTTTGTTATCATATATAGATTTCAAGTTGCGTACTTAGTTTCAAGCACATTGTCTGACACATTCTACTGACGTCTCTGTGACTCTTCTGTGTCTCGTTATTACTCGTGATCTCTACATGTACACTTGTTCCAGAGTACCCATCCGTCTCATCACCACTCTCCATACTTTATCAGTTTCCCTTGGAGCCTTATAACGTTGTTATCATGCCTTATCATGCCAGGTCATGGTGGAATGTATGACATTGCAGATGAAGCGCAGCAACAAGTAGGGTATAAGACCAGAGAAAAGTTTCGCCTATCTACGTCATTGCTATTCCTTAAGTAGACTAACCCAACTCAAACTATTCTATCATATCCTAACCTAATCTATCATATCCTAACCTAACCTAATCTGTCATATCCTAACCTAACCTAATCTGTCATATCCTAACCTAACCTAATCTGTCATATCCTAACCTAACCTAATCTGTCATATCCTAACCTAACCTAATCTGTCATATCCTAACCTAACCTAATCTGTCATATCCTAACCTAATCTGTCATATCCTAACCTAACCTAATCTGTCATATCCTAACCTAACCTAATCTGTCATATCCTAACCTAACCTAATCTGTCATATCCTAACCTAACCTAATCTGTCATATCCTAACCTAACCTAATCTGTCTTATCCTAACCTAACCTAATCTGTCATATCCTAATCTAACCTAATCTGTCATATCCTAACCTAAACTGTCATATCCTAACCTAACCTAATCTGTCATATCCTAACGTTACCTAACTTATTTTAACCTAACCTACTCTAACCGAACACAAGTATCATCATTTGTTTATATATGGGATGCACAAACCGTATGACCTCACTACGACGTCATCATTTTAATTCCAAGTTACAGCCCCGCTCCTGTGCCAGGTAAGTCCACTACGGGCTCAACCATAGCCCGTGCCACTTGCAACTTTTTGTTCCGAATAGTTGAATCTAAAACAACAAACAACATTTAATTCCAGTACAGGTTTTGGATCGTAGTGGGGCGGTGCAGCGTGACGATCTGGGAGGATGGTGGTACATGGACTCCATCAACCACTTGTGCTCAAGTGCGTCACAATAACGTCGCTGAGAACAACCAACTCAACCACTTAAGTGTGTTGAAAGGACACCATACAAGAAGAGAAGTACAAATGAATGTATGACGCCAGACTCAAGACTTGGAGAGCCATGTGCATGGGAAATAGATTTACAGAAAGCAACCCAACTTCCTGTTAGATAGTAATTTTTATAACTGTGCATCATCGTACAGTAACTTACGTAATGGACGATAATATAGTAGAATTTGGTACTATTCTAGTTATAGTCCGGAAAAAATAAAGCTAAAAAACAAACTTAAATATTCCTCGGCCTAATATATTACACATATGTACTAAATAAAGCCTCGTAAGTAAGTGGTATACACTACTACACTACAGAAGAAGTTGTGGAAGCCACCTCCATCCACAAACTTAAAAGTCAGATTCAATAAGGAATTTAAACATAGGATAGTTAGGATAGTTATCTTATAATGGAAAAGGGTACAGCAAGGGTAGTAGCGAGGCATAGAGAAATAGCCAGCCACCTCCCCCCCCCCCACACACACATCCGTAAACACCAATAAGTACAGCAGGTACACCAAAAAATTATTTTGTTGGCAACTGCTTCATTGTACCCAATGGCCGAGAGGAGAGGAGGGGGAGTGGGGACGGACTGATGGTGGGGTGGGGATGAGCAGGGGGAGGGGATGGGAGGGGAGGGGATTGATGATCGTGGAAAAGGCAGGAAGGGGGAGAGAAAAGGAATGCAAAGAGAGGGAAAGTTTGGAAGATGAGAGAAAGGAAGGGGGATGCAAAGCGAGGGGTGAGGGACGCCGGGAAGTGAAGAAAAGGGAGACCTGAGGAGGATAACAGTAAAAGGGAAACAGTTGGAGGTGGGGGTGAGGTGCATGAACGTTAAGAAATGGCGGGTAAGGGGGGGGGGAGGATTCAATCCTAAGGACGCGACACAATAGGTGAAAGACAACCTCCTATTTAAAACATACACACACACACACACACGGAATAGTAACAGAACGAGGGGACATGGATGGAAGCTTGAAACTCAGATGAGTCACAGAGATGTTAGGAAGTTTTCTTTTAGCGTGAGAGTAGTGGGAAAATGGAATGCACTTCAGGAACTGGTTGTGGAAGCAATTACTATTCATAATTTTAAAACCAAGTATGATAGGGAAATGGGACAGGAGTCATTTCTGTAAACAACCGATGCTCGAAAGGCGGGATCCAAGAGTCAATGCTCGATCCTGCAGACACAACTAGGTGAGTACACACACACACACACACACACACACACACCAAACTAAAGTACTTCGGGATCAAAGAGCCGAAGCTCAACCACCGCAATCACAACTAGGTGAGTACACATATACACACGGCGTATGCAAGGCTGACAAACATAAGAACTGCCTTCAGAAACTTGTGAAAGGAATCATTCAGAATCTTGTATACCTCGTATGTCAGACCAATACTGGTATATACGGCGCCAGAAGTCCATATCTAGTAAAACAAAACAAAAAACACAAACAAAGTTAGAAAAGGTTCAGAGGGATGCCACCAGGTAAGTCCCCGAGCTGAGAGGAATGAGCTATGAGGAAAGATTACTGGAACTAAACCTTATGACAGTGGAAGACAGAAGAGTTAGGGGAGACATGATCACCATCTATAAAATTATCAGAGGAATTGACAGGGGTAGATAAACTGTTTAATATGGATCGTACACGAACATGGGGATACAGGTTTTACTTTTATTTATTTATTTATATATACAAGAGTTCTTACATTCTTGTACAGCCACTAGTGTGGAAACTTGATACGCAAATGAGCCACAGGGACATTTGAAAGAACTTTTTCAGTGTCAGAGTAGTTAACAAATGTAATGCTTTAGGAAGTGATGCGGTGGAGGTAGACTCCATACACGGTTTCAAGTGTAGGTATGATAGAGCCCAATAGGCCTAGGAACCTGTACAGCAATACATTGACAGCAGGGAGGCGGGACCAAAGACCCCCAGCAAATACAACTAGGTGCGTGGATTGAAGGTCTTTA